TTATGCTGACTTTGCAGGATATTATATATACAGCACATGGCCAATTTGTTGTGAATAGTAATTAACTGTTTATTATAGTGAATAATTATATTAATAATACTGTGATCAAATAAATGGATGTAGGATTGATAAATATCACTTGTGAGGAAAAAAACAATGTAATTGTGCCATAATAACTTTACACAAGACAGAGAAATTGTCGTGGATGTTATATTTTCATCATAAAATGGGTACATTGTTGCTTTCTTCGTGTATTTCGTTCCATTAATGGGAGTCTTTGCGTTTGGTGCATCTGTGTGCATCTGTGTGCATCTGTGTGTGTCTGTTCCACGGATATCTGCAGAACCAATTGTCTGATTTTAATAAAACATGATACATAGATGCTCTGGAATAATGCTCAGACCTTATTAGTTTTTAGTTGAAATCTGTGCATATTAATTGCCTATTTTGCATATTAATTAACCGATGTTAAGCATTTTCACTTGTTTCTCATGTACTATTAAACAGAAACATGAATTCAATGAAACATGATACATATATGCTATGGGATAATACACAGTACTGATTGATTGAAATCCCGTGCATATTAATTACCTAATTTGCATATTGATGTTTAACTTTAATCAAATTCAATGTAACTTGGTACATAAACATTTAGATGACATATACATGATCAGTTTAGGGTTCAATTGTGTGCTTACTAATGACCTAATTTGCACAATTAACCAATTTATAGGTGCTTCATAACTATCTTTAGTACTACCCGTCGAATTTTAATAAAACTAAGTACATAGTCGTGCTAGTATGCATACGAGTAATATCTCGAGCACTGTAGCAGACAAAGACGTACAATTAGTGCTATAATGGAGGCATGTGACAAGAGATATGACTAAGATATCAAATGACCATGTGTACTATGCATAACTGTAATGTATTAAGTACTGTGACGGACAGGGAATGCAACTAGTGCTATAATGCTTGCAGTTATATTTTTATATACTTCACACGTGCTTACTGAAAATATAAAGTACAAAGACAAGTCTATGTTTAAAACAAGGAATATTTCAATGATTTTGCATGTCATGATACAGTATTCCTTTTATGTACTTTATGTCTCCAATACATTCAGCACACTTCGCACTTTGTAAGCTTTCGTTGATTTGTACATATCGCCTCTAGGGCGATGACATTGAATTGGGTAATTTCTTTCTAATTGGGTATGTAATTCGTTCGAAAATAAAGGTTACGTAATTGTATTAATTTGTACGCATATGACATTTCTTATTACAGGAATGAATAGTATCAAATACAGATATGCAGACACAATTCGTTAAAAATTACTCAAATGTGGGCGTTAAATTCGTTATTGTGCGAGTTGGAACAAATGTCAACGGCGCAACATAATTCATGTGGGTTGCTTCTATCCATGTTACTAACTGTGTATGACGTCATTTTACGTGAGATTTTTCACTTGATTGGCGATGTGCAGATGATTGGATGTGTTTTGCTATGATAAATGTGATTTCGTGAAAGTCCCCGTCTCATAAATAAATACGCCGTCGTTGCAGTGAAATGAGAATGCGTTTTTTGTTTTGTTTTTACTGTCGGACTTATTTGTTTTAATGTTTGCGTTTCCAAATTTCAGATGATAAATTGGACACGACACAGAGAAAGAAATACGTTCCAGAATTAAAACAAAATCGACTGATATATTGGTGGGGAGTGTGATTCTCCGCTAATCTCGAAAAGACTTGAGAACCCCTTAGGTCTACTTAGACAGTCACGTTTATGTCACGGCGGACACGTATATTAAATGGTATTACGACTTTCAAAGATATCGGAGTATTGATCATACTGACGGCGCCAGTGACAGGTATGTCTGTTTTGTTATTATGTAATGGATTTACCGTGTTTTTAGTTGATGCACGTTCAGAAGCCGCGAATCACAGCATATTGTACATCAATCACGTATTACCACTCTTGTATTGTGTGACCGCAGACGGCAAATAGTGTATACGTGTGCATAGAATGCCAATGTATTATTTTTATGACGTCCATCATGCATTGCGAGCTTGTCTGTCGTTTTGTTTGTTTGCATTGAACGAGTTAACACACGAACCCAATAAATGGAAGCAACCCAGCTGCAACGAATTGGGTTACATCAGATTAGCACATCAAGCATTAAATAATTCAGACACAATTTTAAATAAAACTGAACATGAAAAATACGATAAATCTGATTGGTACCGATATCGTACTGTTAATTATTAATTATTTATAATTAGAATTGTACAACTTAGACTTAGAATTTAGAGACATCTTGAATTCATACAAATTTATAGTTCACATATTCGGAGAGTCACGTGAAACCTCTTGCAAATATATACTAACCCAATTATTTCTACATTTGAGACATGTTCCGACTGAATCTGTTAATAGCCGTAACGATCTTTTCCAAATTCCGCAATATTCTGTGATATTTTCATCAAATTCTTTCACTTTTGTATCAGTTTTTTTTTCACCAAGCCTTCATTATAATTTCGAAAATTTTATAAAAAGTACAAAAATGACACGGCATGTTTTTCTTGACGGCGACACTTACAGTGTCGGAATTAAATGTTTTTCCTGTTTCAACCTTCAGCCGAGTGATCAATAACGGGCTCCATTGTTAAAATGTCGTCCATATTTAGACATTGGTGTCACTAATTTCACTTAAATTTATTGCATTTTAATATTTGCACACTCGCTAGCCGTGGTTAATATTAACTATAGAACTGTTGACGTCGTGTGTGTGTCGTCACTATTGCCTCATAAATTAAAGTGAATTGCCTCACTTAACCGCCATGGAATGTCTGTCTGTCCAATGCCAGTTTCATGACCTTGTACTATGGAATAGGTAGTAGGAAACAGGAGTTTTTAGGGGTCGGTGTCATTTTATTGAAGCTTGGTGCTTTGCATTGTAAACATACCATGAGATTGTTGACATTTCAATCGTTACTCAGTCGTCAATCTAAAAGAATACGGTGTGCATACCAGTTGAGCTGAACCAACACAACACTTTCGAAGATCACGATCAAACATAGACCCACAAATAACGAAATATATACAGAATATGCAGAAAAATCATTCTCAATACGAGAAATAAACCAGATGTAAACACTGTCACTTTGTGGCCACTCGATATGGTCACATGATGAACAAATAACACCGGATGACATCATATGAACCTATATTTTATGAAAAACAATAACCTCTCTTTAGCTGTATTTTCCACTCTAATTAGTGTTTCCTGTGTCGTTATTTTCCACTCGAATAAGTATTTCCTGTGTCGTCATAACCAAGGGGCTTACATAAATAAAACAGCGTTGATACTGCAACCAATGGTTTGTAATGTAGACTGTTATCTTCTTTATAACGTAACTACGTCGAGAAAACCATATCAGCGATGCCGGTATTTGCATACTGTGATTTAATCTCATATTGTTAAACATTTTGAATTAATATTTGTTTGGTAATTAATTTATGTTTCCAATGCAACGCTCACGCTTCATTTACCTCCCTGCATGCGTTCAGTTCGCAGGTGTTAGTGATATATCCGTTACGTTTGGGTCGCTATGGTTACAACCTCATCTAAGCACTCCGAGTAGTGTTTTCGCCCACCAGTTGCTCTATATGTTCATCAATTTGGAAATATCTTTGGGTCTAGTGATAATGGTAATATAATGGCGGATATAGCCAAGGTTGTCAATAAAACGGATTTGTTTAAGGTCAAACAGCTGTTACCGGAATTTAAAAAATCATATTTAATTTAAACGCAAATCAGATCACGTGTGATTATTATTATTATTATTATTACGATTTACGGTGTGTTTTCTTGTAGTTTAGAATTTTGCCGAATTTTGAGAAATAATTATTTAACTTTTTGTTTGTTCAGGAGTCAACAGTTTCAAATGAAAGTTTGGGACGCGTAGGAAACGTGGGAGTGTCGTTTTTATTGGAAGATTGGACAAGGTGCTTCAAAATGGGAAATGTAAACTTGCACAGCCTAAAAGCCGGTGACGTTCTGACAATCCATGGTATGGCGGGGCATAATACATTGCCACACTGGGGAGTTTACATCGGCAATGGAGATATAGTACATTTCACTCGGCGGGAAATCAGAAGGGACGCCCTCAAACAGCTCTGCAAGTCAAAATCAATCAATGTTAAAGTACACAACTGTCATGACGACCATTATCAACCGAAAGACAGCAACGATGTTATCATAAGCGCGGAAGATCAAGTAGGGACAGAGTGTACGCAGAATCGGTGGATGAGTTGCAAAGAGTTTGCGTGTTGGTGTCGATACGGTGATGTTATTCCAAACAAAATGGAGCTGCAGACTGAAGACCGGGTACTGTGCTTTGAAATAAACGACGAAGGCACCGACACACGCCTACTGCACGACTCTGCCAACTGAATTTATCTGCTCATCTCCAGATTTGTTCCCGCCAGATTTTTTTTAAAAACTTTCAGATTCTCTCAACTGTTTTTGCACAAGTTACAGATTGATTTAGTATAAGTATCTTGAAAGTGCTGTGATGGAAACCATGGTATTGTAAAAAAAACAAAAAACAGCACTACTTCACTAAATGCGACAGTCGACTACGAAAGACGAGAAGTAACAATTCAGAGAGTTTTCTGCCGCGCGATGATTTGACAGATTTACAGCTTTTATATAAAGTCACGAATTTCTTCTACGTTTTAGTTTTCGAAATTCAAGATTTACATCTAATCAAAAAGACAGATTTATAATAATTCGCCGCAGGTGGCGCCACCAGAAACATTTCACGATCAAGCCAGAATGTGCCATCTTTTTGTTTGTAACGTAGAAATTATCCATGGCCCTGTTCTATCTTGTTTTCACAGTGAACTATAGTTGTTATTTATATTGAAGTGTGTGGGTTGATATTTTGAAATGGAGAATTTTATATTGTATGACTTCAAGCTTTCTTTTTCCTAAATTTGGTGAATATTTTGAAAGAAATGTATTTATGTATGTTTCATTTTATACAGTCTATGGTTTACGTACGTGTGGTGATATCAACTAATTTGCCGTTGGTGGCGGTATACTCACACGATTCGCTCATCACAGTTGTGTACATACTATGGGTTATGTTCTGTATACACATCATGTTATAGTATCAGTATCTTAACATTTTAACAATAAATTTTGAAGTGTAACGAATCAAATTAATATTTATAGTCAATATATCAATGTATACCTCGTTCATGTGTGCACAATCCCTTGTTTCTATTAATTTTGCCCCATGGTCCCACGGTGTGTTGCCTGAATCCATAACACTAATAATCAAATCAAAATGCACAGGAAGAGTGTTCGGATAGAGCATGCGCAGTATATCTCCATCTTGGTTATCAATAATTCGGGTACTTTTTAAAAATTAAAATTGTCTATCCGACACAGGAGTTTGGGGAACCTCATACACACACATGGAATTACCATTCATAATATTGGAGATTTCCAAACTTTATTATTAAATCACTGGAATACTCAGGAAGCTCAGTATTTCATTCATTGAAGAAAACTACGCTGGAGCCACATACGCACAAGACCCGTAACTATACGATGCCGAGGGCAAGATGGAATTCCCAATAACTTATCAAAATAATGTTCGAAAGTACACGTCCAAAGGACGGTGAGAAAATACATGTATCATTCAAGTTCCCATTTCGTAATTTATTATTTTTAATATTTCTACAACTGGGAATAACTCACCAAACTAGACACATAAACCAAATTCCTAATTTTGACATTAAAAAAACATATCAACCCCCTCAATATAACGTAGGCCAGTTTTGGCGTTGTGGGAATAATTGCACTATGTCACATGTCACACGCGTCTAGCGGGATACATATCATGTGTAGAATTGATATGAAGGTTATTACGAGTATACCTCCTCGTCATGTTTCATTCGAGTCCATTGTTATCCTAATTTTGTCATTGATTCCAGACACGTGCCGATCGTGGTTGACATCCCGATATACCGGGAAAACATTCCCGATTCGTCAGTGTATAAATTTGTTGTGGAAAATGTTTACGCCCGCCGACAGTTTCATATATTTGGTGTCACTGTTGTCAGCTCTGGTTATAGTTTGTTACATTTCTGTACATCATACAATGCATTTAGACACACAAAGAATATTCAATATGTGGTACTAAATGTTACAGGGTTGTGTGACCATCATCATGTCATATTGGTATGTTAATCCGATATCCCGGCGTCAAATATTTCAGAGTATGCACAAACGCAACGTATTCGCACTTTTGTAAGTAACGTTAATTATTATACATCTGTCACCGTAACGCCATAAGTTACAGCGTGCCGCAATTTTGCGGTATTTTACGGGGTATTTTCATCTTACCATATTAGGAAATGCGAATTCCTAATATAGAATGATTACGCGCGTACGCGTCTTTTAATAATAAAAACAAACATGGCTGCCACCAGAGTTTAACCGAATTCAACATAAAGAAGTTCCAGTCGCTGATTCTATTCTAAATATTTTGGATTTCGGCGTTGGTGTATCCTTGGAAAAAAAAAGGTGCATAATAATAAGGTTATTACGAGAATACCGTAAAGTATGCACAGACAGTACGCCGCGCATCGACCTTCAATGCGCGTCGGTCGATACTTCCGCTGTACTGTACTCGTGCATACCTTGAGGTATCCTCGTAATAACCTGTGTGATATCAAGAGTGTTCTATTGTTTTAGCTCTTGCAATATGGTGTGGCACACTGTACTTACTGACTGGTATTGCATTAAATTGGCACGTTCGATTTTTGCAAACTCGTCGAATGTTAATGCATCACTGGTTCCATTTACTGGAAGACAGACTGCATATGACATCAACTCCGCCATTACTACAACGTACAATATCGCTACAGCTTTTCTATGCATTGTTGGTAGAATCTGAAATTGAATAATAATGCCATTCAAGTTTTTGAACCTAAATATTGGACCTAAAATTCAAAAATCATGAAGGACATCAACGCATACTCGACATGCCGTGGATGTCTGTCATCTAAAGCTTATAAAGGCACATTTATAATGTTTGGTTGGCGGAGTATGAAACTGACACATTCGCATTTCTATTTTATAATTCAATAAATAATATCAACCAATATATAAATTCATTATAATTATGAGGATCGTCCAAATCGCACGGTTTTGCAGATATCCGACGAACCCATGCGTGATTATTCGTATTTGACCGAAATACATCGAATTGAACGCGCCTCTAATTCATGTATCCTGCAATGGAAATAAAACTAAACGATGTAAACTTACCAAAGAGGGCGCACTTTAAAACACACTGGTTGAACAGAATCTGACAATGTTCGAGGCGGTGACCCAATAAACGGACCTTGTCTGGTAAAAACAAAAAACAAATATTTCAAGATTATTCTGATTGTGATATTGGTATAATATAAAAAATATGAATTTAAAATACATCATGTGTATTTGACATACAATATAATAGTACTACCTTATTTGTTTGGATGTATATAGTAATAACATATTTTCACTTTCGGTCGAGTTAGACTTAAAAATCATTTGCTGAGAGACGGTCGCTTAGATATTTCCACTCTCTAACTTGCAGCACATGGACCTAAAGGCGTTGGGCAATAAAAATGACTTTGCGCTGAAATACGTTCCTTACTTAATTCCAGTTGCTCTCATGGGTATACAATAGCTGAGTCTCGCGTGCTACAATTTAAAATTTGTTTTAACGCTTACGTGTGTATTTGCCTTTAATTGCGTTTTGGGAGTCGTCACTGGAATCGTGCCGATAACGGTTTGGTCGCAATTTACGGAGTTATCGCCGAGAAAGTTCAAAAAATCTCCAATTTGTCTTCGACTATTAAACATGGTGGAAGTGTGATTAATATTTTTGACCTTTGCAGCCATTTTTATTTATCCTCGGCCTTTCCTTCGCCACAGACAACTAGAACATTGAAACGTTTGTCGTGAAATTTACGTGCATTAAATTGCGTTTTTTAAGTCACGTGCCTTTTTAGAGTTCCTCAAGTGTGCTTCAAAGACTGCAATCGCATAAGAGATAACCTGAACATTGAAACATACTTCATGGAATTCACGTGCATTAAATTATGTTTTTTAATTTACGTGCCGTAAAATTACGCTTTTAAAGTTCCTCAAATTTGTTGTTGGCCTATTCCCCCACCATAGTGAATTACAGCACTAATATACAATAAATATTACACACAATGTGGTGTGTCTGCATTCAATGATTTTCATTTCTGTGAATGGCGATGACCGACAGACTGCTGCCAAATTGCTGTCATTTTCATTAGTTGACACAGGTAAGTGTTATTTAGCTTTCTATTTTTACTTACTGTAAAATACTTTATATTCGCTTGCAATTAATTTTCACTATTTTCGCTGAAGGAATGATTCAGTGAAAATAAAATCCAGCGAATATACATTTTTCCTATATTTTACATTCAACTTGCCAAAAATCCGTGAAAATAAATTCCATACAAAACATCCAAAAAGTCTTTTCAGCGAAAACTATTAAGAGTGATTTTAGATTTGTTAAAAAATCATGTGAAATCATGTCGCTAGTATGCACGGCGACGGATGACAGATTATTTTGATTCTGCGGCTCTCTTGACACGGGCAGCTGACTTTCATCCTTTCTTACCGTCCTGACGTTTTTCTTGGTCGCATTTTGTATATACCAGCCAGACACTGATAAGTAAGTATTAAGTAATTAAACAAACAGGTTATAATGAACGAAATTCACATTACAATCCTATCTTTAACGAATCAGATATTTATGCTGGAGAACACAGTACTTGAAACTGAAAAGTACACAGTATAGTCAAATCAGTAAGCAAAGGATACCAAGGACTCCATGGTATACATCAAAATGTAACTACAAAATAAATGTCAGTGAATAAAATATTTTAAAAA